GAGAGAGAGAGAGAGAGAGAGACTCGACCATCCCCCTACGATCAGGTGTAGTATCTGTTCCGGTCAGTTTCGTATTTGATCCGTGGTTGATCAAGACCTTTAAAAAAGAAAGAAAAAAAAACGGAAAAATCCGTTCGCGCACTGATCAGTTCAATGGAAAAAAAAATAAAAACAAGGGAAGCATGAGCGATTTCGGAAATAAAAGAAACCGGAGACACAAACGATTTCGGGAAAAAATAAAATAAAGCGAAGCAGCCGCAAGAGGTAAGACGCACACACACACACAGACAGAGAGAGAGAGAGAGAGAGAGAGAGAGAGAGAGAGACGGGCTTGAGCAGGATGGTTCATTGGGACCAATTAAAAACAAGAAAGAAAAGTGGAAATGGTCCATTGGGACCAATTACAAAGAAGAAAGAAAAGTGGAAAATCCGCAAGCCTGTGCACGCACCAGAGAGAGAGAGAGTCCATCGCCATTTGTGTGTGTGTGTGTGTGTGTGTGAGAGAGAGAGAGAGAGAGAGAGAGAGTCCATCGCCACCTTTCGTGTGTGTGTGTGTGTGAGAGAGAGAGAGAGAGAGAGAGAGAGTCCATCGCCACCTTCATGAGAGAGAGAGAGAGAGAGAGAGAGAGAGAGAGAGAGAGAGAGAGAGTCCATTGCCACCTTCATGGGGGGAGAGAGAGAGAGAGAGAGAGTCCATTGCCACCTTTGTGTGAGAGAGAGTCCATTGTCACCTTCGTGTGTGTGCGTGTGTGTGTGTGTGTGTGTGAGAGAGAGAGAGAGAGAGAGAGAGAGAGAGAGAGAGAGAGAGAGAGAGAGAGAGAGAGCAACTTCTTGGCAAACATTCCATTTTTATTGCGGCCGTAGCTGCAACAGGTCCCCTAGTCTTGTTAAATTTTTCTTTTATCTTCCTTGCGATTGTCTGCTGTCACACAGGTGTACACGGTGTGTGTTAGAAAGAGAAATTTACAAATAACAGAATTTTATCGGGGTGTTTTCTGGTTTCTGAGACGACCTCATATGTCTGACGGAAGCAGCGAGTCAAATGGTCCACTTCACTTTCTGCAGCACAGGGGTGTGTGTGTGTGTGTTTGTGTGAGTGAGTGAGTGAGTGAGAGAGAGAGAGAGAGAGAGAGAGAGGTGACATTAAAGGATGACAAAATAGTGAAATTTCATTGCACTGTGTCCTGATCTTTCATACTCTCGGCACGAGTGCGGCAAATGGTTTCTGCACTCAGGGTCGCTCCCTCTGTGTGTGTGTGTGTGTGTGTGTGTGTGTGTGTGTGTGTGTGTGTGTGTGTGTGTGTGTGTGTGAGAGAGAGAGAGAGAGAGAGAGAGGTGGTTGTCCTGTGGAGCATGACTTACTCGTGAGAGGGGTGAACCTTATCCTTGTGTGTTCTTGGTTACATGTATGGACGATTGTGCAGAACCCGGATGGCTTATGCGTTGGCTGCAGTGCTGCAAGCGTGTACAAGGAATCGTGCCATGTGTTCTGCAGCAGGGCTCTTGCGCTCCTTGTTGGCTGCGGCAAGAGCTATTTTCTCTGGACGGGAAGTGGTGGAGGATGTGGGCTCTCTAGGGAATGGCAAGTCTCGGAAATGGGACCCCACCCCTCTGCTGACTGCCATCCAAGCGCTGGGGGCGCACAGGTGGGTGATGAAGTGAATGATCCACTGCGTCCGCAACTGTTTTGCCAGTTGCACATTTCTTTGTCGGAAATTGATGATCGCATCATTACGTGCAGCAAAAAGGATGTACATTGTACAGAAATAAAACGTCGATCAGCGCATCGAGGAGAAAAAATGATGTTTCTTTTTGTTTTTCATTTTGAAGTAGGGAAAAACGAACTCAATATTGAAAAAATCAGAGCTTCTAAGCAGTAAATTTGTTCCTCTTTGAGCTCCGGGACATTTGTTAAAAACGATACACCTGGGAAAATAATGAACTTTATATAGAAAAGAAATAAAAACTTCTCAGGAGTTACTTTGTTTCTGTTTTTTTTTTTGGTTTTAATAGTATTATTGCAAGGAAAATGAGCAATAGCGAGATGACAGTATCCAGAATGCACAATCACATTGAAAGTCAGAAAAGTTTCACCGTGTCCAGAAAGCAGCATTGCACCAATATAACACCAATAAAGAATCGTAACACTGAAAACCAAATGTCAATGAGAGCTTGCTCTCGCCTTTACATAAGTGTCCAGGCCCTTCTCCCTACTTAACGCTCGGCACCCAGCCTACTTCCTACACAGCTACTGTCTGCATAGTAATTGACAATGCAACTGTTGACGTCAGCAGCCAACGAAGTACTTGAAGATGTCGCCCAATGCAGACCATTGCCAATACAAGGTATGTGTCCTCACATCCACATCATCATCATCCTTCTCTCTCTCCCTCGACTTACAGCCACGCCTTCCCTCTGTACACCTGAAGACCACCCCTGTGCCTCACTGTAGTCCAAGCCTCAGCCAGCTTTGGAGCCCGGGCTATGGCGCTGCCCTCAGCAGTGTCCTGCTTCTTGCATGACCACACACGCACAGCACCTTGCCCTTAGCGCACAGCAGCGCGCAAGCCTATGCTCCAGCAGCACTGCCGCACAAACTGGCAAGTGCCTGAATATCCTCACCAGAGCCCGACTCTTCCCTATATGGAATGAGCCTGCCAGCCTCCAGCTCTGGGCCTGTGCCTGGAAGCTTCCGGTAGGACCCAGGTGGATGGGCCGGTGCTGCAGCCGCTGGGCCCCGTTCGGTTATGCCTCCAACTGTCCGTGTATGTTGCTGCGATTGTGACCCAGGGCCTGCATTTCCAGAAAGGCCTAGAAGGCCGAAGAAAGTATTTGCAGCACGGGTCCTGGGTTCCCTAGAACAACTGGTGCGACACAACTGCCTGTACCCCGAAATTCGAAATTGACAGCGAGGGCCTTTGTGCTTTCCCAGGCCCGCCTTCACTTCGGGCGGGCATATCTGTAGTAAGGGCCCCTTAGGCCTGCCAAGGAGCCTGATCCTCGCAGTATGAGCTGGAGCCGTGTTGTGGCAGTGGCAATGTCTTCGTTTAAAAACGTTGTATTCTTTCTTATATGAGATGGAAATAAAAACTTAGATGAGCAGACCTGGGGAAAAACGAACTTGGTTAAAAAAAAACACTTCTCAGGAGTTTTTTTTCCCCCCCTTTAAAGTACGAGATGCAGCAGTGTAATGGCAACGTTTTCGCTGTTTTGTATTGGTCTGGCGAAAGGGATCCCAATTATATGATTATGGTGTGCTGTCTGGTTGGACGAGGGCGGTACTCACACTACGACCATTTTGACTGGCTCGGTTTTTGCTTGTACGAGGGCATATTCTCAGGGGCAAGGAACATGTCGAAGTAACATAAAAATAAAAAGTGGGTGTTTTTTTTTTTTTTTTTTTTTTTTTTTTTTTTTTTTTTTTTAAAGCTTATTTTTTTAAGCCCAACCAATTCAAGCACCTGTCAAATCTGGACAGGACGGCGTTTCTGGACTTTTTTATTTGTCATTATAGTATTACGGGAAACCCGTAGCAACCAGCCCGAGTTCAAGCCTCCAACGAGGGAACCTGCGGTGGCTGCACCCGACCTGCAGGTGGTGCGATATCGGCCAGGGGTCAGCTGATAGCATCAGGACCGAGCTTCTTCGATGGGCCAGTCGCTGTGCCTCCCCTCTGGTTCCCTCCCCCTACGAACATCAGCAGTCACTGCTCAATGCCGCTTCGGGGGACCAATTGGCTATCTCTAGGTGGCGGCCACCAAGCCTGCCCAGTAAGGTTCATGAAGCCAGTGGGGATTGAACCCTGACCTCCTGAATGCCACCTGCGTGCCTTACCAACCGAGCTAGGCCGCTGGATGTGTTTCTTTTTTTAACCAATTGGCCCCTGGCAGAGGCTAGAGATTCTTAATAACTCGAGGATTGGGAGATGAGATGGGTGGGAAAAATGAAAAAGGAACATGTCAAAATTTTTAAAAATCATAAATGGATTGGAGGATCTTCAGAACCGATTGGAAGATAAAAAACGAGAAAAACAATGGCAAAAGGAGCATGTGAAAGTTTATAAATCATCAATGGTTTGCAGGTTTTTAAAACCAATTTGACGGAGCAAAGAAGACATGTTTTGTCAGGTAGACTCAAGCATTCATTTAACCAATTGGAAGAAAAAAGAAAAGAATATGTTGTTCGAAGAACCCTGGCACCAGAGGTTAGAGATTCTTAAGAACTCGTTGATTGATAGGAATGACTAGTACATGGCAGGTTAGTGTTACGATCCTGGTCATTTCCCAAGTGCAAATTCACAATGAAAGACAATGCCACCTAATTGCGAAAGAAATGAAAGCACTTGCAAAGAGACAAAGACCGGAGCAGAGAGAAAGAAGAAGAAGAAGAAGAAGATGTACACCAGCAAGACCAATGACAATTCCCCCTTCTCTCTCCCTTCCTCCTCCTCCTTCACTTCACCAATCTTATTCTTCTCTCAATAATAATAATAACAATGAATGGATGAACCAGAATCAATATCCGAAGTTCCCTCTTACTGCTGACTCAACTCAACAACAACAACAACAACAACCAGTCCACGGCTTCCCTCCTTCAACCTCCTCTCTCATGCATAGGCTATGGCGGACTAATGAGGGCCCTGCCCTCCTGTCCAAAGGACAACACAAAGCAGCTATGGTGCTGCGCTGATGTCCACAAGACAACCCAAGCAGATATGCCGCTGCTGACTGGTCCGCTATGCCTGACTCTGCCTCGAGCTTCCTTGGTGCAGCACTACCCCAACTGGGGCCTTCCAGATGCAGCGCCCAAGAAGGTGATGAAGATGGTGACTACCATATCCAGGTAAGTGCCCCGCCACTCTCCTATCATGCCCCCTTCTTCCTCCTCCTCAAGCTGGACTGCTCGCCATAGCCAGGCTGAGCTCCAGCGGCCCTTCACCTCCAAGCAGCGCTGCACCGGACCAGCGCTGCGCTCCAGCAGCATGTCGCCAATCCTTGCACACCGCAAATGAGGAAGAGTTCTGTGCTCTTCCTGGAGATATAGCGGCCTACCAGCCTCCTGGGCGGTGACTTCCTAGATCGAGCGGCCTCCCAGCAACCGGTACCTCCTCCCTTTCGGAGGGAAACATCATTGCAGGCTCTGCTATCCTCCCTACAGGCCCTAGACCCGGGCTACTTGGACTGGTACCGGCCTACCTCTGACCTACCGCTACTGGGCCTCTAAAAATGCCAACTTTTTGTCTTCTTCCGCTCGGCATCCAGTACCCGACACTTCTACCACTACTTCAGTGGTACCGGCCTACCTGCTACTTGAGTGTTTTTCCCTTCTGCTCTAAACCAGCAGGCACGCACACACACACACACATGGAAATCACAGCAGAATGCGGGAATTTCAACAAGGCATTCATTCCAGCGGCAAATCCCAGAAATCAGCAGTGTTCTCAGTGTGTTTTTGGCGGGTCATTACATTAGTCAAATGTCTGGCACCAGAGGTTAGATATTCTTAAGAACTCGAGGATTGATAGGAATGACTAGTACATGGCAGGTTAGTCAAATGTCTGGTACTTCACAATCCATTCTATTGTCTTTCCCGAATACCGCTATAATTATCTTATGCCGTATTTGGTGGAAGATGGTATTCCCCTGGTATCGTATTGGAGGCAGGTTCCTGAATTGAACGTATCCCGAGGGCGACAGATTAGATGCTCAGGTTGGAGAGCTTTGTTTGTGTCCTCTGGGGTTGGCCCAATTTCTCATGAGGTAGGATGGCCCGATGACTATGCATGTGGATAGTAATAGCTGTCTAGTGCGACAGATTAGCTGCTCAGGTTGTGGAGCTTTGTTCGTGTCTGCTGGGGTTGGCCCAAATTTTCAGGAGGTAGCTATGGCTTGGTGACTATGCATGTGGACCGTAATAGCAGTCTATCTCCTGTGGTAAATGAGCTAGATACGTTCAAATGAGCTCTATACCTCTGGACCCTACCCTCTGAGCCAAATCAGGCGTGGCAAAGTACCCGTTTCTGGTAGTCTGAGGGGGGGAAATTGGAAGCCTATTGTATTCGCTGAGAATGAAAGTAATGGTAGTTTAACCATGGCTGTGCTGGCAACCGGCCGGTTGGACCGGGCTGGATCCACCAGGCCGGTTGGACCCCTGGTGGGTGGGTCAAAAAAAGAATAAAAAAATTGAAACCATGGTAACTTCGGGAGAAGGGGTTGGGGGGTTTATGGTGAGGGTGTTAGTGGCGAGGTTTGCGCAAGCACCGGCTTCAGCAGACATTGACAACAACGTACCTGGCTTTTTGCAAACGTTAACCTTCCACCCAAAACTTTGGAAGGGGGCTGGGGGTGTTAGTGGCAGGGTAGGGACGATACTTCCCACCCAAACACTGAGGGAGCTTGTCACTGCTGTCTGGTCCAAGTTGCCCTCGATACTGGTAGGGTGATGGTCCTGAGGGCTGGTCACACTGAGGTAGGATAGTAGGGATAGGGGTTGCCCTGGGAGCATTAACGTGGGGAAGGGTAGGGAAGGTAGCCTATCCTGTCAGGACAAAACTTTGGAAGGGGGCTGGGGGTGTTAGTGGCAGGGTAGGGACGATACTTCCCACCCAAATACTGAGGGGGCTTGTCACTGCTGTCTGGTCAAGTTGCCCTCGATACTGGTAGGGTGATGGTCCTGAGGGCTGGTCACACTGAGGTAGGATAGTAGGGATAGGGGGTGCGCTGGGAGCATTAACGTGGGGAAGGGTAGGGAAGGTAGCCCATCCTGTCAGGACAACCACCAGCTGCCGCTGCCAGCGATCACGGTGGGTACAGTCCTTGGTCTCAACAACAACCTGGGCTTAAAAATTGCTACGGCCAACCGGGAGGGAACCGGCCCTGTCGACCGGCCAGTAGGATCGGTCTGGTTCCGGTTGGGGGAGGGCCCCCCGGCCCTACCGGGTTTTCAGCAAGTTTAACAAATTCGGATCGCGGTCCTACCGGTTTTTCAGCACTGAGTTTAACAAATTCGGATCGTGCCTGAACTATTGGTGAGGTTCCTGACTTAAGCTTTTAACGATTAAGGATCTTGCCGGAAAAGATTGGTGAGGTTCTTAACACTTCTTATGCTGTGGTTCTAGCACAAAACAACTAGTTGCCACAAGTGAAACTAAAAAAACAAACAAAAAAAAACTGAATTCAAAAGAAGAAACAACCTGAATTCAGTGCGAGGCACAATAAGCCACAAAAAGTAAACCTGAATTCAGTCTGAAAGAGTGCCTTCTTCACCTACAGCTATATATGATGACCGGGTGTTCTATTCTGGCGAAGACGGTAGGAGTCACGAGTAAACCTGAATTCAGTCTGCAACCCAGGTCTGTGCACATGGGATGCTGGTGCATATGATTGGATTGCATCCAGAGTTCCGAATTGAGAGAAAGATGCCCCGCCATGTTGCGCGACTGAAATTTGAACACATTGTTGTCGGATTGCAGGTCGTCATCCTGGTCTTCAGTACCCTGCCGTCGGGTGTCTCGGGCCCGGGCAGGAAAGCCCTTCTTCATTCTATTTCGTTTTCTCTATATGAAGTGTACTTGTTTTGCTGCGTGCCGGTAATAAGCAATCAGACTGGTGCCCCTCAGAATAGATGGGGCAAGTGCCCGGTTGCTTATAAGTGCCCGGTTGCTTATTACTGGCAAGCAGTACATTTTGTATAGAGAAAAAAACATAGAAGGAACGGGTTCCCTGCCCAGCCCGAGATACCCGATGGCAGGGGACTGAAGACGGGGACGGTGACCTGCACATCCAGATCAGTTTACCTGTGTATCTGAAACTGATGAGAGCGCTTTCCTCTCGCCATCCATCTCCTCCCCAAGGCTGTTTTTGTGTCTATGGTTGCAGTTTATAAAGCCTGCTTTTGATCTCTGGCTTATATCCTGGTAAGATTCACATCTATTTCTTTTCGAAGAATTTTACGAGATGTATGCGGGGTTGCATCCCTGCCGACCGCCGACCCCACCGCCGACCGTATTGCAGCTGACCAGACCGGTCGGAGGTCTGCCGACCACTCAAAAAAAAAAAAAAAAACATCCAATCATTCTGTTTTCAAATCTGAGTTGGGCGCTGTACTGCACTTGCTGAGTACAGCACAAATCCGCTGAGAAACTTTTGGGGGGGGGAGGATATGGGGGGGGTTATGGGGGATTGCGATGTGAACAGGTTCTGTCTCTTATACACATCTAGATGTGTATAAGAGACAGGTATGGGGGTGATAAAGGGGATATTGGGGGGGGTAATGAGGGTGTTGGGGGCGAATTGGGGGTGTTGGGGGGGTGTATGGGGGTATTGGGGGCTGCTATGGGGGTGTTGGTGGTGTTATTAGGGGTTCTGGACCCCCGTTTTTTTGGTGGGGTGCTGACGACCCTCGACCGGTAGGAGCCTACCAGCCAATCGGTTGGCGGGTCGGCAGCCGACGAGTCAAGGACCGCCGACCGTCGGGGGTGAACCCTGGATGTACGTGTATGTACTTCACAAATGTTGCCTAAACAAGCAACGAAACATAGCATTTCTATGAGGAAGAGATTCAGTAACCAATCCTCCGATTTCTATCAAATTTTGTTTACGGACTTTACTCTTATTTTTTGTCCTTGATTGGTGCTAGTCTGAGTCTTGAACTTTTTTCTCATGCAAGTTGGTTGAACTCTTGTGATGGCACAGCTTGAGCCCTCAAGATCTTCGAGAATGGCTGTCCACAGCAGCGGAGCTGACAAAGACAGGATACAGCTTAGGTACATAACTGCAGGAGGTGACCCATGGTTCCTATTTCTTTGTCATGATGGTGCTGCACTGCATTCTGTTTGTGGGAATTGACTTTCTGAGTTGTGCTGTGGTTTGCCTGATCGTGGACAAAGAAATGGCAGCAAATGGATGGAGAGGGGAGGGAGGAGGGAGGAGGAAGGTTCCGCAGCCAAATGTTTTGAGCGAATGCTCCTGACTTGTGAACATTTGATTTTGTGTAGCGATCCAAACAACCTGTTCTTCGTGACAGCTCTTCAGGGATGGAGGATAAATTAGAACCCCCCCCATTTGCTGGGCACCCCTTATTTGCAGGATACCCAATTTGTTTGGTGCTTGTTGGTGCCATCTATGCGCTATGTGTCCATGCCAGATGCTTTGCGTAGCCCTGCTTGTCGGACAATTTTAGGTTCTACTAGGGCGCTCTGCCTGGATGCTGCAGAAGGGGAGTGGGGGGTCTTGGAAAGACAGGCGGAGGAGAAGGGCGTGAAAGGGAGGAAGGTTGCACTCTTTTAATCTTTTTCTATGTATGTGTGTGCGTGTGTGTGTGCGTGTGCGTGTGTGTGTGTGTGTGTGTGTGTGTGTGTGTGAGAGAGAGAGAGAGAGAGAGAGAGAGAGAGAGAGAGAGAGAGAGAGAGAGAGAGAGTATTGGGTTTTGCGCACTATGCTTCATTTTTCTGGGCGGTGTAACCCTTGGACATTTGATGTTCACTTTGGAATTCGAACTGGTCTGAGTTGTCGAACTATATTCTGGTCTGCAGATGTTATTCTAGCGCTGGAGAGAGCCATTGGGTCTGAAGAGGGCAGGGGCCCCAGGTCTACTTTCGAGTTTGATGGAGAGAGCTCTGGGCTCCTTGGTGCTGGCGAGAGCAAGGTATGGCTATTGGTGTGGACTTCTGATAAGTTTCTCTTTTTTTTCCCTTTTTTTATTTTGACTTCCAAGGGCTACTGCGATAACACTCTGTGCAGGTGCAATGTATCGAGTTAGACTGGTTCTGGTGCAGTGCTGCTGCATCTGCCTTGTTGCTGAATGTACACCCCCGTTTTTTTATTTTTCAATCGGGGACTGGTGGAATGCGCTCCCATGAGTCACAGCTGTTTTGCTTGGGCTACATCTGTGTACAATTCAGCCACATGGGCCAGGTTAATGTTGTTCATGGCAATCTCTCATAGTAGGTTTATATATGACAACACCTATCTCAGCACATTGATGGCTGTTATTGAACTGGAGCTTCCTGGGACCTGATAGCGGTAGTTTTTAATTTTGGTTCAAGTTCCCCCCCTCCCCCCCTCAAAAAAAAAAAAAAAAACAAAAAAAAAAACGGGTCCCTTTACGCACAGCACATTGAGTTCCCATGGCACACTCACAACCTTTTGCCTTTATAAGGGGAAACCCCCATTGAGCAGCGTTTATGTGTAAATTTCAAGTCCAACACATGTAATGCAGTCAGATTTCCTAACAAAGATCCAGATGTTGTCAGGCAATTAGGCCTGCCGCGTACGTTAGCCTGCACATGCCAGCACCAGTGTCCTCTACCTCCGTCTGACTTGGTGTGTTCTGTGAATACAATGACTGGCAAGTCTTGAAGTCCTACAAAGTTCTCCGCTTCTTCCCAGTCTCAATCTGAGCTCCTGCAGGGAGCTGGTAGTGATCCGGTATATGCCAAGAGTGCAGGTGGTGGAGCACCCTGGGAGTGAGTCCTCCCTGTGCGGCCAAACCTCCATTTCCCTCCCCCTTCCGTCCGGAAACGCATTGTTAATTCGTTGTCATAAATTGAAGGGCAAAATTATCAACCCTCCCTTGGTCTGTTAAGTCTTTTTTTTTGTTTTTTTTTCTGCCAATGATCCTTCCTCAGGTTCACCTATGGAAAACCTTGTTACGACTTCGTGTGTTAGTAGTGTTATACCTCTGGATGGTTTTAGTTGTGGTGCGTTGGCCTTATCTTGATACTAGTTCTTGTAGGATACTCGGAAGTGAATGTTATAAACCTGTGGTCTTCAGTTGGTCCTTGGTCTTGTGCAAGCATTAGGATTTCAGTGGCCCTTCACTTCTGGGTCTTGTGCAAGCTTGAGGATATGTCTTTCTCGGCCAACAAGCCGGAGTGGTAGACACTGAGGTAGGATCATGGGGGCGGGGGCGCACCAGGGACTAATAATGAAATAGTGGTAGTCTGGGAGGGAGTCCCATAAGGAATGCCGTCCTCTGTAAATCATCTGGATAACCAGATGGCTGCCTACCGAAGGCAACTGTCATATGTTGAGTATCCAACATCTACAACAACCTGGGCTTTAAGAAAAGAAAGAAAAAAAAAAGAAGAGGGAAAAAAAAGGATATACCTCTCTCGGCCTTTCGGCTAAGATCAAGTGTAGTATCTGGTTCTGGTCAGTTCGATACCTCTCTCGGCCTTTGGGTTAAGATCAAGTGTAGTATTTGGTTCTGATCAGTTCGATATCTGATTGATTGTGATTTAAAAAAAAGGATTTCAGTGAGGTATTTGCTGCTTTTGGAGGATTACTTCTTTTTCAGTTTTTTTTGTGTTATGTCTGCGCTGGATGTGCTGTTGGGTGTTATATGCTAGATGAGCACATGCCTGGTCTCCATATGTGCAGTCTCTCTTTGTTTGAGCAATTGATTTTGAATCTTTTTTGATGTGTGCTAAAATCATCATGCTGGTCAAGTTCTTCACAAGGCGTTCACTGCTGACTTTTGCTTTAATCACTCGAAAACAGTTGAATCATCATTTGATTTGCTTGGAATTGATCCCATATTCTTTTCTTTGTTAAGGTTTGGTGGTGATTGCTTCTGGTTTCTCTCATGGACTCTGTGTGCCATTAAACGTGTGTTTCCGTGTTCCGTCTCTCTTTCTGTGTGTACAGTGGCCGTTCAACAATGGATATGCGTTTGCGACGTGGTTATATGTTGAGTCTTTTGCAGATAGCATTCAGTCAGCATCAGCTGCTGCCGCTATTGCTGGTGAGCATCTCAAGCATGCCTTTCCTGTTTCTGATCAGGTCTCTTTTTGCACGCACTCTGGAAAACATCCTTGTCTCCAAGGTGCCTGCTGTGCATAAAACACCGTGACAACGAATGGAAGGAGATGACAGAACATTAGATGTTGAGAGAAAATTCTACTAAGTCGATTGAACTTGATTCACTTTTTTCCCCTTTGCCAAAAGCTGTGACATGCATGGAAGGGCAATTGAACTGAGTCTGAGGTACCAGAAAGGCAAGGCAGCTCTTAACAATGCCAGGGCAACCTAAACACAAATTTTGCGGTATGCACTTGTGTTTGTGGACTTGTTTTCTACCCAGCCCTCTTTTTGTTTTTTGTGAGTTTGGAGTCTTTGGACCATTTCTCGATATATATGTGTCTTCCTTGCGGAGCGGCCATGCTAATCTTCTCTGTATCGTTTTAATTTTAACGGATGTTCGAGAGGACGCCCAATCCTCTTCTGGACGTGGTCCTTTGTTCGAATTCGTGGCCTTGGACATGTAAGAGTCGTACAAAACCCAGTTGTCTCCGTTTTTCTTACCGTGAAAACCAAGCCAAGTTTGATTCTTTGGGAAGTAATTATGCATAGATAGGAACATTAATTATAACAAGGGTACCTGTTGCGGCTTCGCTCGCGAGGGATTGAGGGGGAAATGGGAGAAATGAGTCGGGGTGGTGGGTTCGATGGGTTTTGGGGTGGTGGTCGGGGGTGTTTTTAGACTCATGGTCCTGTGGGGGGTTGTGCCCTAACAGCTATGGCGATGTGTGTGCAGCACCTCCTGCTAGTTTGGCATGCTATGTCTACCCCTACTGTCTTCCCCCGACTCTAGACTGAAATCCAGGGGAGTACCTTGGTTGGTATGGCATGCAAGTGGCATTCATGAGGTCTTCGGTTCAATCCCCGTTGGCCTCATGTACCTTCCTGGGCAAGCCTGGCACAAGGCACATAGAGAAAGACCAGAGGGGAGGCGCGTCCTTTTTTTCCTGAGCTGTGGAGGTGTGGCAGAGGAGCGGGGAGAGTGAAGAAGCGGGGGAAGAGGGCGGAGGAGGGCGGCAGGAGCAGAGAAGTCGTGGGGGATGAGCCGGGTGGTTAGTTTGGTCTCTCTCTCTCTCTCTCTCTCTCTCTCTCTCTCTCTCTCTCTCTCTCTCTCTCTCTCTCTCTCACTCGCTCGCTCGCGCGCTCGCTCGCTCTGCTGTGCGCTGTTTTTCCGTTTTTTTTTTTAATATCTCCCAATGGTCTACGGGTCAGATATCAAACTGATCGGAACAGATACTACACTTGATCGTCAACGTTGTCGTCGTTTTGGGAGGCGGGATAGTTTGTTAGTTTGTGCTGTGCGCCGTTTTTCAAACTGATCGGAACAGATACTACACTTGATCGTCATCGTCGCCGTCGTGCAGCAGAGGATCGGAGAGTGGCAGACACTTGATCGTCATCGTCGTCGTCGTTTTGGGGGACGGGGTAGTTAGTTTGGGGTCTCTCTCTCTCTCTCTCGCTCTCTCTCTGTCTGTTGCTCTGCTGCGCGCGCTGTATTTGCGTGATTTTCTTTTTTTAAAGATCTCCCAATGGTTTACAGGTCAGATATCAAACTGATCGGAACAGATACTACACTTGATCGTCATCGTTGTCGTCGTTTTGGGGGGCGGGGTAGTTAGTTAGTTTGGGGTCTCTCTCTCTCTCTCTCTATCTCTCACTCTCTCTCTCTGTCTCTCTCTCTCTCTTTCTCTCTCTCTCTCTCTCTCTCTCTCTCTCTCTGGTGGGCGCGCACGTGTGCATGCCGTTTTTCAAACTGATCGGGGATACCTCACTTGATCGTCATCGTCGTCGTTGTTTCTGGGGGCAGGTTAGTTAGTTTAGGGTCTCTCTCTCTCTCTCTCTCTCTCTCTCTCTCTCTCTCTCTCTCTCTCTCTCTCTCTCTCT